TTAGTGTTTTTTTTTTTTTTTGGAGTTTATGGCCTGGTATCTAGACCTTTAGGCCAAGTCTTAAGTATTTTTATTCGGTTTATTGTAATTTCCCCACTCCTTCATAGTATACTGCTTCACAATATGTTGATGCGTCACATTGTGCAGTTCTTGGGAGATTTTGGCGGCAACTTGATCCAGCAGACAGCTGATAGTTGGCGATGGTATCTAAAGGTGCCTATGCAAACAAACAGCTTATCTTGAGAATCCATCACCATCAGAGCACTTGTTTCACTGTTTCCACTAATAGTTCACATGCGTAGACACTTAATACACAAAATCGCAACACTTTTACATATCAAAGTCCACTTCAAACCATTATTTAAACAATAATACAGGAGCAGCAAACCGCCGCCGGTCAATTTCCCGCCAAAACTCCGGTATTAGTGTTCTGTAATGGACAGTGTTGCCATGTTGCCGTTTCGTTTTGTAAATGAAAAAATGCTATACCTTGGCGGTGATAATGCTAAAAAGTGCTAAATCACACTTGAATATGCTAAAAAATGCCAGCTGCTAAGTCTTGTTTAAATGAATAAGAAATGAAAATAAATTGCAAGTTGGTAGTGTAACTACAAATGCAGTGCTATTTTTTAGTAAATTCAATCAAAAATCAAGATAAATCTAATAATATTTGTAGATCATCATATCAGCTTTGTCGTGTGTTTGTGATTGTGATGTTGAAAGGCCATCTTTAAAAGCAATAGTTATTGACATCACAAGCGATTCTTTAATCCCTCTAATCTGTTTGAAAACATGTTCGGGAACGTTATAGGAATGAGACAACATTTAACTGCTCTTTTAAGGCCATATCTGATATGTAGGATCGAGTTCAGTGTATGTAGTGACATTCTTAATTTTGTTTTTACGAAAAATGATAAAATATGCAATATGCTAGAGCTAATATTTTCATGCCAACAGATTTAAAAATATGCTAAATTTAGCATTAAAAATGCCACATCGGCAACACTGATTATGGATATTCGATATAAATCGATGCATCGAACTGATCCGATGTTTTGGAAAGTAGTTTTTATACTTGATGTATCGATGTATTTTCATAAAACATCGAATCAATAATAACCAGACAACGGCTCAGAATAAATAATAGTACTACATACAGAAGTTGCACTCCTTTGATGATGACCGCTTGCCGACGTTTTAATAGCCTACATAGTTATTATTAATCAGATAAATCGCGCACGCAAACTAAATAAATCTTTATCGCTACGCGCGAGTGTCCGTATTACTTTGCATCTTTTCCCCTTCCTACGTCACGACAGACTTTCCGTGGTTACCAAGGGCTGTTAATAAAAAGTACATTGTGAAATGGTAAGTTAGTTACTTAGGTAAAGTACCTATCCTGACTATAATCAAATTACCATATTTCCGCTACTATGTGATTTCTGTAATGTCCAACACATGCAACTTACAAGGCCGTTCGTTGGTAATCGCGATATTTGGCTCAGCAGAAATAGGTAGATAGCGTAAACAACAAATTTTGTGCATGGTAGAGTCATGCTGCAGCTATATTAGTAATATAGTTTAGCACGAAAGGGTCGGCTCGACAGGAGAAAGAACACGCTGTCACAGAATACCAGCGTAAAATAACAGCTTAACTCTGCTGTATTTCGTATGGTGACTGTAGAGAACCTTTTAACTGGATAAGAGGCATTCCATCTTAGTCCTCACGGGTGAGAACGCATCTGCATTTTGATTCTTTATTGAGGATAGATGTAGATGTCTATGGGTCACAGCAACCACTTACCATCAGGTGGACTGTATGCTCGTTTGTCACCCTATCCTAAAAAAAATCCAGAAATACGATTCTAACAGAATTGTGGTCGTATTCTACTTAGTTAAAAATCTTCTAAACAAAGTTTTAATTTCAGTTTTTTGTGTTATTATAACTTAAAATGTTTTAATTACAAAAGACAAGTATAGGTATGTATGTAGGTACTTCTATAGTAAAGTAAATTTCAACTAAGTTTTGTAATGAAGTACTTAGGTTTATTACTTCTGTAATTAAATTATTACTAACAAAAAAAAAAGAAATATGTTCACTTTTTATTATCCTTCGGTAATTTAAAAAATAATATATCTGAATCCTTTTGTTTGCTCATTAGGCATCCATCCACGCAACAATTATATAGTATGTTTCTAGAGCAAGCGGAAAAACGTACATTGACCTTTGACGATATCACCGGGGTAGCCAACCTTTTGCTTAGGTTTTATCTTTTTCTCCTTGTATCATTACATACATCATCAGAGTGAAAGATAAGAGTGCCGAGTGCGAAGTTCTTCGCAGGTCCTATGTCTATTATTTTATTACTAAGAAAGAAGATTATCCTGTACTTATATGAATTAAAAGGCAAATTAACATTAATTTAAATTTAGTATTCATAAACCATAAGAGTTAATACAAATTTAATTATTACGTTAACAGTAGGTAAGTAGTGTAATAAGTAGGTAGGTATCTAGTTGTACAAAACATAACCACTTCTTGTTAGTCTGATAAAATGGCGAACTTTTAATGTATTCTTTAGCTGTCAACCTGGAAGCATGCATAAAAAATCTCATAATAGATTATCAGAGACACTTGACAGACTATGATTTTGTAACTATTTCAGGATAATTTTCTGATGATAAAGACGTGGAAAAGTTCGCCACATTGATTATAAAACTATCTACAATTTTATCAGTTTTATACAGTTTTATCCAATTAATTTAATTTATTTTCTTTTTTTATGACGTGGTTAATGCAGTTTTTCCACTTTATATGGTCAATATTGTATAGCACTTCAAATGGGTTTTTGACGTCTGCCATTTTAAAAGTGGTATTGTTTCGGTTTAGGTTTGTTATCTCTGAATGACCTCTTTCTTCACCCCACCCCGTACCATAAAACACGCTTAGCGCATAACGATACGTAATCGATAATGAAATGTATGGAAGTAATACCTGTCGTTTTATTTCGGTGCTAATATAATACTTTAGGTCAATGTACGTTTTTACGCCTGCCCTAGAAACATACTATAGTAGGAACGACGTTTTGCTTAAAACTTTTTCAACTATTTTATCCTACAATTAAACGTACTAAACACTAAACTAAAACTATTTCGATGAGTATTTCAACAAATATTTACAAAAAACTATTTTGGTAAAGAGCGTTAAAAAACTTTATACCTTTCAAGAAAGTCATGAAAAGTATATTTTCGGAACTACTGCTTTTGCAGTAGTATCCTATATAAAAAAACACACACTCACAAAGACAGTGCTGATGTAAGAATAGTAGATCATTCAAAATTATCAGTTGTTTGAATGGGATGTTAGGAGGTTGACTACAGATTTGTATTGTAAAATCAGAAAAAGTATTCGATTTTGAAAAAAACTATAGATGTTTCTAACCGACGCATCGGAATATCGATGTATTTTCAAAGTTGACAACCCGAATCCCTATCAAATACCAAAGACAAATAGTATAGTATAGTAATATCAAAGAGTATTTTATGTATAGATAAGCTATTATAATCGGAAGCACTAACCAATGCCGTAGATAGAAGATATGGACCAAACTGACCTCTATAATATATACCAAGCTGTTACAGATAGCCATAGATAAAAAATACAGATTGCTCTGTCATCTCCTTCTCTGTCAAATTTTAATTCATTCCGTAGATAGAAGAGTTTTGGCGAGAACTTGATCAGCGCCGGTTAGCTGCTCTTATTTTATTGTTTAAATAATGGTTTGAAGTGGATTTTAATAAGTAAAAGTGGTGCGATTTTGTGTATTAACTGTCTGCGCATGTAAACTATAAGTGAAAACGGTAAAACAAGAGCTCTGATGGTGATGTGATTCTCAAGATAAGGTGTCTGTCTACTTAGGCGCCTTGAGATACTATTGTTAATTGTCAGCTGTCTGCTGACTCAAGTTACTCTCACAATCTCCAAAGTGCTGTACAATATCACACATCAACATATTGTGAAGCAGTGTATTATGAAGGAAAATTATACATTGTAACTTCACAACCTCAGAAGAGCTAGAACCCAGAGCCGTGAAGCCAGTTATAAAAGAATCTGTAGATAGAATAATTCAGATTTTCTTTTTTTTTCTATTGTACGTATTAAACAAAAGAGTATATATTCACTATGTACTTTATGGACACACAATATATTATACTACATGCTTTGATCTGCCACTGAAATAATATGATGATGTCTGTGGATATATCATATGATTTAAAAACCCAAATACCTGTCTTAGTTCTGCATATTATTCGATATCACTATTGATATGATTTTTTATGTGATCTGAGACATGTAATAAAATATTATTTATATATTATGAGGTGCATATCCACTGCTGAACCTATCCTAAGCCACTGTCACCTACCAGCATCCATTAACTTCCTGCGTCTCAATGCTCTAGAATTTGGGTGTTAATAGTGGTTTTTAATTGATAAAAATTAGCAAATTAGAACCACTAGCGAAAATAATGAAGAAAGTTCTGTAATGTTGATGGCGATTTTGCATAAGCTTCTCAAGCTTTATTGCTTATTGCTGTAATATTGTGAAGTGTATAAATTACGACAAACTTGACTGTATGGGCATAAATCTCTTTGCCTTTAAATCAGAACGGAATGAAAAAATCAAAAGAAATAATTGTCAGTGTCAAAATCAAGAAGTCAGTCACAGAGAGACAGAGAGTACATCCCAAGTCAAACAAAATCCGCAAGCCGCTCTTTGATTTTGATCCGCCTCCGCATTCCCACTGCATGCACGAGTTTGCATTTTGGCACGCTCTCTGTGCAGCGGTTTTTATAATTATCACAAAAATCTGAAACGTTTAGCTATGACTCAAATTGTATCTCTTGGTTTATGACATAATTGTAATCGTATGCGATTTTCCTGAGCTACTGCTCAGTGGCCTTTTGACTACGGTAGATTGCGCGCGCATTTTTAAAACATGGCGTCTTTAGCAGTATTTGATTTTGATCGTACGGTAGTTGATGGCGATTCAGACGCGACAATCATCAATAGTTTACGTGAAAAAAATCCTCCGCCGGAATGGGAAGCTGGCAATCACGACTGGACCCCTTACATGAGTAATGTAAGTATTCTTTTAACATAATTAACCATTACCATATTATGGTGAAATAAAAATCAAATTTATTAATATATATTGTGTAGAATAGTGTATATAGAGTAGTATAAGTGTTGTAGATAGACTGCTTTATGAAAAAAAAAATATCTTTGCATTAAGTTTTAGTGGGTGTTATTATGAAAACTAATAATTATAGTGTTTTCGAAACGAGCGAACAAGATGAGATAAAGACGAGGAAGATCATAGTTAATTATTTATTTATTGTAACTATAAAAAATAAATAGACTGTTTTACAGTTTTTTTTTATTGTCACGATCTGTTTATTAGTATGGTAGTCGTTAATTTTATTTAACAGAAATAGTAATTTACGATTTTTAGCACGTAAATAAAATTTATTAAAATATTATTCATAGTTTTTTTTCACTTTGAAATTCTTTTGTTTAATTAAAAAAAATCCATATATCAATAATTAAGTATTTCTCTGTGACCAGTTTATGATTCACAATAATTAAAAATTAAAAATTTTGTACAACCGACTTCAATATAAATTATTAAAAATAACTAAAAACCTATTGGTCAGATCTTAATCAAATTTATATGGGACCACATGTGAAGCACCAGCTTTCAAATAAAAAAAGAATCATGGAAATCGGTTCACCCAGTAAAAAGTTATGAGGTAACACACATAAAAAAAACATACAGTCGAATTGCGTACCGTCTCCTTTTTAAAGTCGGTAGAAAAGAAAAAGTGTCCGTCTATGTAATATGCCTGTTCTGCACTTAGTGCCATTATAATATGAGATTTGTTAAATTTTGCTTTACATCTTTTTAATCTACTTTGAAAGACGAAATAAACTTATACAAACAGAATTACGTTTTTGTTCATTAAGTTTTTCAATTGGACATTTAATTTTCACATAACATGTATATTCTCTTTGTGTTTTTCTCCATTTGTATAACGATATATTTTTCTGTATGGCTTATAGTTACATGAATTCTAAAACAATGCAATAATAATTATAGAACATAAAAACTTAAACAACACACGCATTGATCGTGAGCTCTGACGATTCTAGTTGGTAAAGTGAATGAAAACTGAGTCATAAAATTCCATTACATACCTATAACATAGGTCATACAGGTCAAGCTAACAAAATGCGAGTAAGATAACAATTTTACTCTGTAAAGCAAAAAAACCAATTAAGTTGGCGCAACACAGAATAGAATAATTTTTATTCAATATAGATTATTACATAATACTTATTGAAAGTCCTTTTTTTATTTACCACTGGTTCGGAAAATAACTCTGTTCTGGGAACAACCAGCAAGAAACCCAGCGGGACTTTTTTTTTAAACGTAATTCACTTTACAATCATTTTGTATTATAGTTTGTACAAATTTTAAATGAGTTTTAAACCTCATTCCCAAGCTTTTTTATTCACTTATGAATTCTTTGATATTATAATAACCCATTTTGTAGAATTTTTCTTGAATAAAACATTTAACCTTGTTCATTGACAAATTTTGTACATTTTCTGGGATTTTGTTGTAAAAGGTTTTATATAAATTCCCCCATAAAAATGAATTACTAATTCTGTGGAATCTAGTAACTTGTATTACAAGCCTATAAACATTTACCTTGTATAAACAGTGGTAGAGCCACGCGGCAGCTTTTGCTGTCGCACGGATGGGCCGGCTCGAACCACGCCCTCACAGAATACCAGCGTGAAGTAGAGGTTTACCTCTGCGTTTTGCTTGGTGAGTGCAGGTGGCCGGAGGCCCTTTTTACTGGAAATGAGGCATTCCATCTCAGTCCTCACGGGTGACAACGCATCTGCATTTTGATTTGTAATAGAGGATAGATGTAAATGTCTATGGGCCGCAGCAACCACTTACCATCAGGTGAACTGTGTGGTCGTTTGTCACCCTTATCCTATAAAAAAAAAGTTTGTTCCTGGTGTTTAAAGTATGACCACATATCATAGAAATTATAATAACCTTTTAATTTTATTTAAGTATGTTTTAAATGTGAAATTAACAACTTCGGTTTAACAAAACCTTATGCTTCTTTTTAATGAGTACGTTAGGTATTATTGTTATGTAATACATCAAAAATTATGCATACATATAGTAGGATAGTGAAAATTAATGCGATCTAACAAAAGAGTATCTCAACAGTATTCTGAAATATTGCAACTGGACCTTGTGTATGCAACATTCAGATTTAACTTAAGTGTCAACACTGTTAAAATTTTGTTTAACTTAATGACAAACAGTCGGAGTGTAACATCTATCAAGAAGAATTTTTTTTTATAGGATAGGGTGAAAAAAGAGCACACAGTCCACCTGATGGTAAGTGGTTGCTGTGGCCCATAGACATCTACATCTATCCTCAATAAAGACTCAAAATGCGGATGCGTTGTCACCCATGAGGATTAAGATGGAATGCCTCGTTTCCAGTAAAAAGGGTCTCCGGTTCTCTACACTCACCATACGAAACACAGCAGTGTTAAGCTGCTATTTTACGCTGGTATTCTGTGAGAGCATGGTCCTTCCCCGGTGGAGCTGACCCATTCGTGCTACAACTATACTACTATTATAACTGCAGCATGGCTCTACCACGTCAAAACGTACGTAAATTTATTGAATTCCAGGCATAGCAAAGCAAAAAGTCCAATTTATTATTCAATAAATTGGACTTTCTACTTACCTATGCCTCCGAACCACAAAAGACATCCACTTATATTACCTGCGTAATTTCCGGCCGAAAACGACGAAGTATTATATTTACTGTATCATATTAAAAGCTAATTTAATCATCTTTAGTAGTTGATCTAGAGAAGATAAAAAATGCGTCGCCTCTTTCATCGCACTCTCGCCCATTCGTGACAGTTCATTCAATTTCTACGCTTGCTTGAAACCAGTAATAAAAAGTGTCTGACCGAAGCTTCGAATTCGGCTTTGGCCATCTTCGACTCAAAACTACCTTAGACGAAACCTTCGGCTTCGGCCAAAGCTTCGGCCCATTTAGAACACTTTTTATTACTACGTTTTTAAAAACTTTACCTCCACTCTAGGATTTTCTCCTGTATCGTGGGATCAGATTACATACATAAATTTCAAACATCCCTGAAACAATTATTTGTAGGCCATACAAATACTTGTTCCGTAAAATCTTCAGCACTGCAACTCACAACAAAGCCACTGCGCCTCGGAGCCGTCATTGGACAGTATTGAACATTACCAACGACAAATATACTGTACAGCGGTAGCTACGTCTCGGGATACGTGCATTGTCACGTGCAGTCACGCTGCAGATGTATTATCGTTGTAGCACGATTGGATCGGCTCGATCTGGGTAGGGCCACGTTCTCACAGAATACCAGCCATCTTTGTCCTCAGGGTTGACAATGCATCTGCATTTTTTAAAATAGAATTGGGGTGACAAACAAGCACACAGTCCACCTGGTAGTAAGTGGTTGCTGTGGCCCATAGACATCTACATCTATCTTCGTTTGCGAATTAAAATGTTAAGAATGCCTCTCTTCCAGTAAAATAGGTCTCCGGTTCTCTACACACGCCATACGAAACACAGCATTGTTAAGCTGTTATTTTACGCTAGTATTCTGTGAGGACGTGGTCCTCCCCGGTCGAGCCGACCCATTCGTGCTACAACTATACTACTAATATAGCTGCAGCATGGCTCTACCACGTAGTAATCTGCATTTTGATTCTTAATCGAGGATAAAGATAGATATGTCTATGGGCCAAAGCATCCACTTATAATTTAGTGGGTTTTGTGTGCACGCTTGGCACACTTATTTTAAAAAAAATAAGTTGTTTACTAATTCTTAGTTCAGAAATGTAATACTTTATACAACTTACGATTTCATGCTTCTAATTTTATCTTAAGTATTAACCTTAACCTGCGCTTGGCACAACCTGTTGATGGATGAGACCAAGCTCTAGTAATAGACGGATGGAGAATCCTTCAAAAAACATTAAATTTAACTTTAAGAAGACAGGTAGCAGTATAACATCTGTGACAAACCAGCATGGTATAGGCAAACTTTTAAAGAAATGGACATATGGGCCACAGAATCTACTTACCATCAGGTGGACTTGTTACTAATTTTTCACCTTTACTCTATGTAAAAAAGAAAAACAAAAGGAAATAGCCAGTTGTGCAACGTTAAATTATTTTCGTCTATTGTTAAACTGCAGGTGTGCTTAATTTTAGCTGCCTGTTATGCCAAAAAAAGTATAATTTTAATTTAGGTATACTTTTATGTTTTATTTTGCCAGTGCTTACGTGGCTAGATTTACTCTTAATTCGAAACAGTTCTTGAGTCATTGCTGACGTCATACGTTCGTTAAGTCACATTCGCGAAACACTGTAGAATTAGCCGTAAGTGGTCATTACACTGATTTTAAAAATGGTTATAATTATACGCAATATAATTAGCTATTTTTAACATGCTTTTATTAGCTTCGCGTGTATCTATCTATTTATCTAATTTATGTAACGGAATCTTTTAAGGTGAAAGCGCCAGAGTGGCCCGTGAAATTAAAATTTTCTTACGTTTTTTTGCATTTTGCATGTCAGTATCAGGTCGTATGCTTAACAAAATATGATTCACGACCGTAACGAGTATCTATGTATTTACAGAATTATAATAATTATAATCAGCAATACAACCCTCTAAATTCGTATATCCAGTAAAACTCATTCAGAGGGATTATATGAACTTAGAGGGTTGTATTGGTGATTTTAATGATAATAATTCTGTAACCACATACAACGAGTATACGGTCGCGAATCATATTTTGTTAAACATACAACCTGACCCTGACTTGGAAATTGCAAAAAACGTAAGAAAAATTGAATTTCGCGGGCTACCCTGGAGCTTTCACCTTAATGTAATTTTCAACAACTTGTAGACGGTCTTTTGACTTTAAAATTTGTAGATGATAATACAATTATTTAATAACTTTATTCTAGTATC